TGATCGCTAGTTGATGACCATTTCAACCCAAGCGCCTTTATGTAGGTCAAGTCATCAACTGTGATAATCTCCTCCAATGTCCACGCTGAGTATGCCTGCAAAAATTTCGCTGCAGTTAGAGGCGAATTTGCGAAGGGGGACGCCTCCCGATGCTAGTAATGCGGTGACTTCAGATTTTATTCTGATAACTTCTTCTACAGTAGACCCTCCTGTCATTAAATTGTCCACGTAGAAGTCCCGAAGGGTGATTGGAGCTCCTACGGGGTAGGCTTTCATGTTTTCGCGTGCAAGTTGCTGCAAACAACGAACTGCTAAGAATGGAGCGCAACTGGTGCCGTATGTTACAGTTTGCAGTTGAAATGTCGTTAGAGGTTCTGAAGGTGAATTTCGCCATAAAATACACTGCCATTTGGCGTCACGTGAGTCAACGATGATTTGCCGATACATTTTGGCAATATCGGCCATTAAGACGAAGTGATGAGCTCGAAAACGAAGGAGAATTTTAACTATGTCATCTTGCAGTGTGGGCCCTACGTATAGAATGTCATTCAGCGCTTTTCCATTGGACGTGCGGCATGAAGCGTCGAATACCACACGTAGCTTGGTTGTCGAACTATCCACCTTCACAACACAGTGGTGGGGAATGTAGGTACCCACCTTCGACGTCAATTCCCTTGGATCAACCGGCACCATGTGTTTTAGCTCACTATACTCGTTCATTAACGCCTTGTACTATTGCCGCATCTCCTCGTTGCTTTCTAGTCTCCTTTCTATTGCGAAAAATCTTCGGCGAGCAGTTTCCAGTGAATTGCCTAACTCAGCGGGATTTTCGATGAAGGGGAGGCGTACGATGAATTTGTTGGTGAGCAAGCAGCGCGTAGTATTTCGGAGAAATTGTTCTTCACATTCATGCTCTGTAATTGCGTGCTCCAGCGATAGTTTATAACAGTTATATTCTATCTCCCAGAATTTTTCCAAGCGGGCTCCCAGCAATGAGTTCGTGGGTGAAGATGACTCGTTATAAGGCAAGGATGACGATGTTAACACCGATGATGACGGGAGTGGGGAATGTGAAGTGAGAGCTCCAGCAACAATCCAGCCCAACTGTCTTCTGCAGTGTGGGTAGATTTTTGTGCAACTTTATTTGCCCCACAGAAAGAATTTCGAA